ACAGACTTCTGTACTCCTCTTCCTGATCATCCCAGATACACCCCATGATGGCCGTGTCATCTGCAAACTTCTGAATGTGGCATAATTCAGAGTTGTAGCAGAAGTCAGAGGTGTACAGGGTGACCATTGTCAATCAATCTCGTGCCGTGTCTCCTGTACATTACAGAATGTGTCCAGCTTGTCAAGTTTAAATAAATCTTTGATCGCTACCAGTGTGGCTTTGAAGTGCTGTACTGTGTGTTTGTAAGTTTTCTCGCCAACAAACACAACAATGTCGATGAAACGTTTTGCACCGTCAAAGTCACCTGCGGTTGTCTTTGGTTTCATTCTATAATACTGGACTTATTTTTCTACAAAGGTTTGAACTTTGAGAGTCTTTAAACAAGAGAGAAAAGTGTGTAAATGTTCATGCCTGTCTGAGAAAAGTGTATAAAGTGTGTAGTGAGGGGTTCTACAGCCTTAAAAATCTATAATAATTGTATAAAAATAAAGTTGGCTACTTCGCAGATTTCACCTATTGCGGGTTAATTTTAGAACATAACTACCGCGATAAACGAGGGACCACTGTACTAAGTAATTTATTGAGAATTTTTCAGAAAAACAAAATTTCCCCACTGGATAAGCAGAAGAGAATGGATGAACGGATAATATTTCACCATTTTACTAGGGTGAGCAACCGTCCTCTTTTTTGCAGTTGTTGACTTGTAAAAGCCTATCGTTTAAATATGTTAAAGTTTTCTTTAAGCAATTGTATTATTAAAGTTTTTCATGACTTAGCCAAATCTCCTCTTTTTTGGAAATCAAAATATGGTCACCCTAATTTTACAAGACAAGTTTTCTTTACTTTATGGGGTGCAGCCCATATTATCGAGTCATTTAACCTGGACTGAATTCATGGTATTTTACCAGACAGGTGACACTCCTTTCCTGTACAGCTCTTTTGGTAGTTATGTTTAAACAGTGATTGCGAAAGGAAAAAAAATCTTAGAATTTCTTAAACATTTCTTGCATTTTTCAGTCTTTTTTTCATCAACAACATGCTTATGTGATAGGAATTCCGTGGCAAGTCCAGGGGATCAATCGCTGCTCAATCTCATCATAACAACTTTATTCTCTTAAACATTAGATCTTTAAACCATAGTCTAAGTGGATATATCACCTGAAACTTAGATTTGATCTAAATCTGACCAGGCCTGCTTCAATTCACAACTGAAAAGTGTCTGTAGTATATTTTTGCCTGTACAGTATAGTTATTTATTTATTATTTTATTTTGTAACAATGGAAAAAAAGTATTTACTCCTTTTCTGTTAGCTGACACCCATCCTAGAGTAAATAAGTGCAACAGACAGAAGTGGTACCAGCAAGTACAGACAGATTTACACTTTAAAAGATTGAGAGAAACTGTATTGTGATCTAAGGAGCTTGGAAGGAAAAGCGTCCGGACTTGTTTAACCTCCTAGAACCTGGCGTCCACATATGTGAACGTCACATTTTGGGTTGCCTAGACTAAAATATGGAAATCATGTAAATTGACAGAGTGAGTGCACAGAGGGCACCAAATTTTTGCAGAGTCGCCACAGACCTCCAAACTTCATGCGGTCTGCAGATCATGTGGATTTAGTCGTGAACCGTTTACCAAGCAGCGCGACCTGATTTCTGCTTGTCTAGTCTGCCATCTGGTGGAAAAAGGCAGTAAGTGCACGTATGACCGCCTGGGTCCACTTTTTTTCTTCTTTGTTTCTGTCTCAAATAAGCAGCTGCTACAAAGAAACCCCCGAACTGCCCGCTGCTGTGTTTTATCCATGCCGGCTCCCTTACAGTCCGCCGGGCTTTGAGAAACACGCGCTTTAGGTACGTCCGTTACTTGGCTAGCCGAAGCTGTTAGCTTCCTCAGCAGCTACAACAGACTGCGACGTTTACGGTAGAGGGTGTTTGTGCGACCGCGTTAAACAGCTAACTAGCTTGAGCCCGCTGGTGAAGTGCGGTTATAAAACAAAGGGATTAGCAATGCTGGCCTCGGAGCTGTAGCAACACCTAATAACGGTCGCAGCTAACAGTTTTTACAGTAAACAAATGCTATGATGAAAAACATTGCATAGAAACACTGGTATTGTGTTAATCACAGGATAAGTTGCTCTACTTTCCCCTCGCCTGATGTGAGCGTTGGTGGTATAGTGGTTAGCATAGCTGCCTTCCAAGCAGTTGACCCGGGTTCGATTCCCGGCCAACGCAAAGTCATTTTTTTTCACTACAGTGGCATCTTTAGTGAAAACTTTAGTACTAACAATTTTGTGGGGGAAAAGCTTTTTGTGGTATGAAAACTAAAGTCATTTAAACACACTGTTAGAATTTAAAGCTACCCGGATTTTCAGGCACTAATGCAGGCACAATCAGCTGTCTATGTCCTGTTAATGGGGACTTTGGCACGACTGTCCTATCCTCTCTTGCTTGCCGTGATCAAAGTCAGTGAGTGTTCATAGCAACGGGAACAGAAATTTTATTCTACAAACTTAAACATGAAGAGGAACTCATGACACTAAATACAAAATATATTTAAAAAAAATATAACTTATGTTGTTCCTGCAGCTGCTGAATGAGCTCTGTTAGTACATGCCGACATGGGGAGGTATTTCCACAGCGAGGTGGACATTAAGAGCCCGTGGCATCAGGTGCTGGCTGCCTTCTGGCAGCGCTACCCAAACCCATACAGGTAATTAATGATTGTTTCAGTGAATATGCAAAGTCATTTCTCATCAATGAATCTGATATTTTTCCCTTATAAAACAGTGAAAAATGTCACCTTATTATCTAGTACAATAAAAGAAAAAACCCACATTAGTCCATTTTCTCCAGTCAATGGACAAAGTGGATCAAACTGTCGTGCTTTTATCTTGACTGCATCAACCCTGGGTGTTGTTTGGAGAACTTCAGTTTTTTAAACAATAAAAAACATTAAAAAAAAAAAACAGAATGTGTGAGTGTCCTTAAATCATAGATCTGTTTTGGTGTACCAGCACCCATGTACTCACGGAAGATGTCCTATACCGTGAGGTCACCTCCAGCAACCACCTGCTGTCCAGGCGACTGCTGACGAAGACCAACCGCCTGCCGGGCTGGGCGGAGCGGGTCTTCCCCATGCACATGGCTCGGGCGGTCTACGTCCTGGAAGATTCTATTGTGGACCCTCAGGCCTACACACTCATCACCAAGACCTGGAACCTGAACCACAACACACTGATAGTGAGATGCGCTCTGATTAGATCACTGTGGTTAATTAACCCCCCCACCCCATGACAGATAGGATAGAGTTCAGATCGATGGTCTTATTGTCATCAAGCGATTTCTCCCACTTTGAATGCGGCAGTTTGCAGTTTGAGATAACAATCAGAAAATGGCCACGAGCTGTGAATAGCATGAAAGCATGAGATCATGGTCATAAGAGGTGGATGTAATAGAGCAGACCTTCTCAAAGTGTGGGGCCATTGCAGGGGGGGCGCGGTATGAAAAGGGAGGGAGAGAGAAAACAAAACTCTTGGACACTGCTAGCACAGGGCGCCCACAGAAATGCAAAGCAGGAGATGAAGCATCGCTGAATATGTTTCCAAACCAACTTCATTCTAAGCCAAAGACTAGAAAATTTGGCGAAGCATATCTGCCCTTTGGTTTCACCTGCACAAGTGCCAAGTGCACAAGTCTCCCCTGCAGGATTGGTTTTCCCTGCGTTGGGAGCAGCGCTGTGCTCTCCCAATCACGGACAAACAGTATCCACAGTTGTTTATGTTTTTAAACCCATTTTGCACAGAGAGGCATTTTTTGAAAAATGTATTGATAGCAATGTTGAATATTATTACACATACAGTAAAATAATCACACCGTGACGCCTCTGCCTTTCTAAATGGAGGGACAGTAACTGCGTTTGTATATGTTAGTGTGTAAAACCTGCAGATAGTCAGATTAACAGTATTTTGTCTCTATCTGCCATTCTGCAATTCATCTCATGTAAACAATAACGTGGCGCACAGCGTGACGTGAAAAAAGGCACATACCTTTGACGTTGCGTGACGAACTCTGTATTCCTCGTCCACACGTAAACGCAAAAAAGGAGTTTTAAAAAATCTCAGTTTTCGGTGATTCGAAACGCCGTTTACGTGTGGACGAAACAGCTGCGTTTTCAAAAATACCCGTGTAGGTGTGGACGTAGCGTAAAGTTAGTAGTTTACTTTCTTACTACCTGTAATTTATTGCAGATTACTTGTATTTGCTTAATTGTTGACTAAATGTTTGAGGTGTGAAAGAAACCACAATGGAGCAAAATATGGGTGTGTGTGGTTGGAGGATGTGTTTGTGCATGTGCGTGCGTGTTGTAAAACAAAGGCAGCAAAAAAAGTTTGGGAACCACTGTAATAGAGGAACCAGCTGACATGGTTTGAGCACCTGAATAGGAGATCTCCTGCACATCTAGACTTTGATGGACTAGGTCAGGGGTTTTGGGCATGTCCAGCTGTGAGGAGACCTGGGACAGAAACAGGACTGGACTGGGAATGCCTTGCTGGAAAGGCTGGAGATAGTTGCCTAAATGAGGCCATTCTCTCCACTTTTGCTCATCTCAGAAAGGACAAGAAAATGGATGAATTTGCGGATTTAAAGAACTGCACTGAACACAGGTATAAATGCTTTTTGACTGGAAAACTACAAGGCCTCTTACAGTCTGGTTGGTTTTAACATTTTCAGTATTTAACTAAGTTCAAATCAAATCACTTTTATTGTCACATCACATGTGCAGGTACATTGGTACAGCACATGTGAGTGAAATTCTTGTGTGCGAGCTTCATAAGCAACAGAGTTGTGCAAAATACAAGAATGGCTACATCTGAAACTAATAAATATATGTACAATATATAATAGTATATGCATTTCTGGATGTGTATACTAAATATTTTTCTACGTGTGTGTGTGTGTGTGTACACATATTTTACAAATTAAATAGAGTAAACAATAAATAAAATATATAAAAATATACAGAGTTGAGACATGTGCAAAACAGTGGCATTACTGTACAGTATGGAGTGCATAATGTTAAAGTTCCAGTAGTGAAGCTGAGGTGTCTATGACGTGTTCAGCAGTCTGATGGCCTGGTGGAAGAAGCTGTCTCTCAGTCTGCTGGTACGGGACCGGATGCTGCAGAACCTCCTTCCTGATGGAAGCAGTCTGAACAGTTTATGGCTGGGGTGACTGGAGTCCTTGATGATCCTCCCCGCTTTCCTCAGGCACCGCTTCCTGTAGATGTCTTGGAGGGAGGGAAGCTCACCTCCAATTATCCGTTCAGAGCACCGCACTACTCGCTGGAGAGCTTTGCAGTTGTAGGCGGTGCTGTTGCCATACCAGGTGGTGATGCATCCAGTGAGGATGCTCTCAATGGCACAGTGATAGAAGGTCCTGAGGATGCGGGGGCTCATGCCGAATCTTTTCAGTCTCCTGAGAAAGAAGAGGCGCTGCTGCGCCTTCTTCACTGTTTTGTTTGTGTGTACTGACCACGTAAGATCCTCAGCCAGATGTACTCCAAGGAAACGGAAGCTGCTCACTCTCTCCACAGCAGCGCCGTTGATGGTGATGGGGGTGTGTACTTCTCTGCACCTCCGGAAGTCCACTATCAACTCCTTTGTCTTTGCGACGTTGAGGGTGAGATGGTTGTCTTGACACCAGTGGGTCAGGGCGCTGACCTCCTCCCTGTAAGCCGTCTCATCACCGTTGGTGATAAGACCCACCACTGTAGTGTCGTCCGCAAACTTCACAATGATGTTGGAGCTGTTAGTGGCTGTGCAGTCGTAGGTGTAGAGTGAGTACAGGAGAGGGCTCAGTACACACCCCTGTGGAGCACCAGTGTTCAGTGTGATGGGGGATGAGGTGATGCTGCCCAGTCTGACCACCTGGCGTCTGTCAGACAGGAAGCTAAGGATCCAGCTGCAGAGGGAGCTGCTCAGTCCTAGATCCTGCAGTTTCCTGTCCAGCTTCGAGGGAACGATGGTATTGAATGCTGAGCTGTAATCTACAAACAGCATTCTCACATACGTGTCTCTCTTCTCCAGGTGTGACAGGGCAGTGTGTAGTGTCAGGGCTATGGCATCATCAGTGGACCTGTTGTGGCGGTATGCGAACTGTAGAGGGTCCAGTGAGTCGGGTAGTGCAGAGCAGATGAAGTCCCTGACCAGCTTCTCGAAGCATTTGCTCACGATGGGGGTCAGGGCTACAGGTCGCCAGTCGTTCAATGAGGAGATGGTGGAGGATTTGGGTACAGGGACGATGGTGGCCATTTTGAAGCAGGCTGGGACTACAGACAGAGAGAGGGAAAGGTTGAAGATGTGCGTGAACACTCCAGCCAGCTGAGCCGCGCATGACTTGAGGACGCGGCCGGGAATCCCGTCCGGACCAGTAGCTTTGCGTGCGTTCACCTTCCTGAAGCACTTCCGCACATCCTCCTCAGACACAGTGTGCGCACTGACGTCATCCGCGGTGCGCACACTGTCCGGTCTCATGGTGTTCGCTGTGTCGAATCTAGCGTAGAATACGTTTAGATCCTCACACAGAGAGGCCGTGGTCTGCGGTGTGCTGGGTTTCCCTCTAAAGTCTGCGATCGTGTTTAGTCCCTGCCACATACTCCGAGGGTTGTCAAACTGTTGCTCCACCCTGTCCCTGTACTCACGTTTGGCTGCTTTGATCGTCTTCCGGAGTTGGTAATGTGCGTGTTTGTAGTCCGATGTGTTTGCGGAGGCAAAGGCGGTGCTCCGTGCCGCCAGTGCCCGCGAACATCTCCGTTAATCCAGGGTTTTTGATTTGGGAAGGATTTAACTGTTCTGGATGGGACGACATCTTCCACGCATTTCCTGATAAATCCACAGACTGAGTCTGTGTACTCATCAATGTCCCTAGCAGCCACGTGAAACATTTCCCAGTCCGCGTGATCAAAACAGTCCCGCAGCGTAGACTCCAATTGGTCCGTCCAACAGTGCACCGCCCTCCAGGTTGAATATAATACTTTTTCCTGTGCTTGAACAGTTTGTGTTTGGAGTAAAAACGGGCTTTTCACCCGTTGCCTACTGGTGGTGGTCAGAGGGCCCGGTGGCGCCAGTGTCCGGCAGCCTCGCCTCTGTCAGTGCGCCCCAGGGTGGCTGTGGTTACAATGTAGCTGCCATCACCAGTGTGTGAATGTGTGTGTGAATGGGTGGATGACTGGATATGTAAAGCGCTTTGGGGTCCTTAGGGACTAGTAAAGCGCTATATAAATACAGGCCATTTACCATTTACATTTTCTACCGTCTCTGCCTCTAAGACTGTTGTGGAGCGGTGTCTGTTTGAAGAGAACCATGGTCGGCCATCTTGGACCAAATTGAGGAGGGAGGCCTGGATCTCCACAGCTGTATATGGACTGGGTCGACCCATACAGGTATACACAAACATACAAATGTTTCAGTCCTAGGGAAAATTGGCCACCAAAACCCAAACTCAACCTACTATCACTTAAAGTATAAAGAACACACCAGCTTCTCTTAGTGTATTTCTGATAGAGATTGACAGACCACGTGACTTTCGTGCATTGCTTTGTGGGTACCCGTGGCAACAAAATCAAAACACTGCATCAAGCGCTAGTATTTCCAGCACCGGTAATCATTAATTCTGCGGTTTTAATCCCTACTTGCATTTTATTTGCCCCAAAAACAGTTATGTACAAAACGACGGACAACACGGCAGGTCCGTACAAAGACAGACTTGACGAAAAGGCAAAAAAAAAGGACAAGGAAAAAATCAAAGGATTGAAAGGGTCAGACCTATACGAGCATACAGAGTGGAGTAAGGACGTTAGCGTGCTGCCCAACTTTCATCACGGACATATTTATTATTGTATGGTCCTAAGTGTGAGTGTATGCACTTCACGTTTATTAACTTCAGATCCCTGCAACAAGCACAGGTCCAATTTACTTTTGGTGATTTGGACTATTCCATTTCACAGCTGTTGTTACATTTTTTTTCCCTTTTTCTTCTGTACAGGCAAACGCAATCTATTTGTAGTTTCAGGTTGTAGTATTACACAACATTTTCAGATCTAATAGAAAAAAAATAAGTGTTTCATAATTCATTCAATTTATTGTCTTTCTTTATAACTGGCATTATTGTTTCATTCTATTATAGAATCTTACAAGAAAGAGGCAAAATTGTATTCCATTATGCTTTATTAGCTGCTTCGATAAAAAACAAATCAACAATGCAAAAAACAACAACAAAAAAACAACAACAACAACATTGGAAACCAGCATAGTAGAAAACAGTTATTCATCACTTGATTGCTTGAAAACAACACTTGGGCACATATATGCGGGATTTTCGTGGCTGTTTTGATCTCGCTCTCTCTTAACCGATCAAATCTGGCTGTGGTAGCAGCTTTAAACTCAGTATGATCCAGGTTGATAGAGGGTGCTCAGTCTGGATCACATTCCAGCATTTTGCATTGGTTTTCCTACAAAACATAACAAACATTAGCCCGCAAAGCCACAGTGAACAAAGCAGCATAGCGCAATGAATTCTATTCAAATCAATATAAGACTTACTTGTAACCTACATCACCAATTATGTTATGATAAATTACGTAATAACTACAACAGAAGACTTACTGTTGTGGAAATGCTTGGAGCAGACTAACATGTGAGCTGGAGTGTTCTGAAACGTTATATTTGGTCTTCAAATTGCTCCAATCCAGGCCATACGTCAGCTCTTGTTACTTCGGAAACATGGCTTGAACAATTTCTCTTCCACGACGTAATCCCATAAACAATCTCTTTACCCGTCGGCTTCCCGTGGCTGTCATGCGACCGGCTATTGCAGTTAATAATACAACAGCTTCTCGCCATTTTTTGTGTTTCTTTTTATCGCTGTGTGACTGTTTTCATGTGAAAGCATGCGTGCGCTAGTACCTCTTGCCACGAATTCCCAGAATCCTTTGCGGTTTTACCCCAGAATGACATCACATTTTCAATCTCTATAAAAGATCCCCAGTAATGGCTGGAGGTGTGGTCAACACAAACTTGATAACGGCTGCTTAGTTTGCCTTAATGTTCTGCATGTTTGCGATTATAATTTTATTCCATTATTTTTGCAGTTGGGTTGTTATGCTTGTTACATAGCTTCATGTTGGATTAGCTAATATCTCGGTTACTCCTTGGCAATGCAGGTCATAAATAAAACCCCTGACTAGTTAGCGAGTTGTTGCTGGGGAAATTCGTTGCAAAGAGGGTGCTGCACCAAAATTCTGTCTGCGATTGGTTTGGTCTCTTATCAGATTGTCCATTGTCGCCCATAGTTTGCATGGAAGATGCTGACTTGTCTGCAAACTCTCAGAACATTGTGAAGTAATACCTCCTGGCTCTCAAGCCAAGCCAAGATACCAAAACCAACTATGTGACACTTTGTCAGTATCTATATACAGCTAACGTATGGTGCGGGTATTTATCTTTGACTAATTCTTTGTCTTTCTCCGCCAGGAATTCGGTCTCGCCAGGTTTAAAAGTAACCAAGCTAAAGCCATGAGAGGGCTGGAGTACTCTCTCTCCAAGCTACAGAGTAAGTCACAAATACATGCACACACAAATCTGTATTTCACCTCTGAGGGCTTCACCAAAACCTGAAGCTTAATTACCACAAGCTATGTGTTTTTGTACAAAAGTCCTGAAACTGTAAAAAGAAATCCAGTTAAAACCAAGAAAACAAACGTCAGCCTATCACAAAACCGCTGTTTTTTTCTTTCTTAAAAAGGGAAATCATCATTTAAAAACTATGGTTTTTATTTTCTCTGATCATCTTTGTCTAATTTAACTTTTAGAGCTTTTCATTAAACTTTGGTCTCAATCTAGTATCAGATTGAGACCAACATTTACTGTATTGCACACCTTTGGTGGTGGCTTAGAGTGATGTCAAATTTTTCATTGATTTTTAGATTTGGTCACAGGATTCACATTTTTTTTTATTTATTAAAATATGAATAACAAATGTCATATGAGTCTTCTCTTTTGACTTTTTTTATGTAGATGTAGTTTAGATCAGCCTGATTTTCGGTCATTAGAACTTAAACCTTAGATTGCATATAAAAGACGACGGTACACTCCGGGTGTGAGAACTGTGCATTTTCTTTTCTTGTTTTAAACCTTAAACCTATTTTCAGCTCCATTATGCTCATATTCAGTTTATTTTTCACTTCAGGGCTCAGATCAGTGTGACAGTTCCTCATTTTCTACTTTTATTTATCCACAGCTAGTGACCAGGGAGAGTCATCAGAGAAGCAAAAGCCCCTCCCACCACAAGCCACGCCGACCCCCAACCAGAAACCCAAACAGTTTGTCTGAACCTCAGTAGGAACAACAAGCCCACAATAGAGATTGACAGACCATGTGACTTTTGCGCATTGCATGCCGGGAACTCGTGGCAAAACAATCCAAGTACCGCATCAAATGCAAGTATTTGCAGCACTGCAAAACGTTCATTCTCTCGGTTCCAATAAATTCTTGCTTTTTCTTTGCCCCCCAAAAAGGTATGTA